GGGAGTTTTTGATTTACTCTTTTTGCCCATCTTATGGTACTGAGAATTGACAAAATGTACTTGCAGAGATGCTAGACCCTCCAGGAAAAAAGAAATCTGAAAAAAAAACTCCATTCAAGTTTTTGAAAAATCGGCCGCCTAGGCGGGCTAGGCGGTTCTTTAATAAATAAATAGTATAGCCGCCCGGCTATACTATAGTTAAAGTTTCATAATTGCAATAGACCGGCCAGGAAAAAATAAATCTTAAAAAAAAGAATGCCATTCAAGTTTTCGAAAAATCAGCCGCCTAGGCGGGCTAGGCGGTTTCATTTTAAAAAAATAATAATAATAATTTTTTATTTGTTTGTTATAAATAAAATAAATAGTATAGCCGCTCGGCTATACTATATTTAAGTTTCATAATTGCAATTCTGTCTGAAGGTGCTCTATCTTTCAGAAAAAGAAAAATAAATAATTCAATATGAGGTCTCTCAATTCTGAGACTGATTTATAGTTTTTCTCTGCCTATGCACTGGGAGCATATAAGCATGGGAATAGCTAATATTTAAGTTTTAGATTTCGGCATTAAAATGTTTTGGTAGCTTCTCATTATATCAAGGCTGTTCTACACAAATTGAGGTGATGCCATTTTGGTGTTAGCATCAAATGGCATTCATTTTCTCCGGAAATGGCCACAGGATCTTTAATTCCAGTGGAGTGGTAAAGAATGACATGCTTTATAATTCTTTCCTATTAGATTTCTCCTCACTTTCCTTTCGAATTGAAACCGAAGCGACAGTTGGTCATTTGATTATGATGATATTGATTGAATGCAGGCAACTCCCAAGGTTCACCCTAATTTATGGAAACCAAGGAGTGGCTTAGAGCTGATGAAAAATGACCTTCCCAGCACCAACCCTGAAGACTTTATGTCCTGCTTTGATTTGTCCAAGAATGATTCATATCTCATATCACCAACAGGAGGGATGATCTCCATTTTTGAGTATTTGCAGAGATACCAGACCCGCCAGGAAAAAAGAAATCTAAAAAAAATCACGCCATTCAAGTTCTGGAAAATTCGGCTGGGGGCTAGGGGGAGTATAGCCGCGCGGCTGTACTCCTTTTTTTCTTTTTTTTTTGGGGGGGAAAATATAATTCCCCTGAATTTTCCTTTATCGATAAGAGTAGTTTAAAGCATTATCCATTACTATTAGGTCATTACCCGAGTCTCTGTTGTCCCATTTTGATTTTTTACTTATTACTCATATAAGAATCTACCATTTTCTCATATAAATATATTATTTAGGTTATAGCCGCCCGGCTGTACTAATTAAATATATTATTTACAGGGTATTGCCGGGCGGCTATACGTATTAAATATTTTATTTTCATTTTTTGTGCTAGAGTATAAGGGAAAAAGAGGGAGAATGGAAGTGAGAATTAGAGTGGAGATGAGATTGAGAGGGGAGGATGGGTTGGATGAGTAACAAAAATGAAAAAAAAAACTAAAAACTGAAACCTATTTGAAATTGTTTTCACTTTCAAGTTTTTGTTTTCACTTTTGTTACTCATCGCTCTCATATTCCCCTATCGTCCTCCTCACTCTCATTCTCACTTTCATTTTTCTCTATACTCTAGCACAAAAAATGAAAACTCAAAACTCCTCATTATATCCTTTCCACAAAAGTAAAATTGAAATGGTTATCAACCGGACCCTAAAATAATTATAAAAAAAAGGACCCTAAAATGATTATCAAACGGACCCTTAACCTTGTCAATATAGAGGGATGAAAAATAACCAACATGCCATCAATTTGACATTCATATAAGCAAAAAATTAGCCACCTAGCGGCTCACAAAAAATTGCAGTTAATTTGATAGTTTCGTGAATAAAGAAGCTATTGGTTAAAAAATTTATCACTTTAAGGTTGTTTTTGTCAATTTTCAAAAGGTAAGAGACTACTGTTAAACGTCACAAACTACAACGTTATAGAAAATGTTACTGAAACGTTTTGTTTTCATCCATTCATATACGCTCCGTCTTGGGAAGCACATGTGATCCGGGTCTGGTGCTGACCTTGCTGACGCGAGACGGACCAGCAGGATGTTTTATCACAAAATGCCTTGTATTATTATTAGTAGTGGAGTTGCTCAATATATATTGTACTTTATTATGTCAAGGTTCCGATATGGGATTTTTTTACATTCTTCAGCACTAGAGGTATGACAAAAACATGGACAGAGCTACTAGCAGGACCAAAGATTTGATACCACTTCGTTGCTTTGCTAAGCAATTTTCAAAGGGTTTCTCAAAGAGAGCAAAAAGACTTGTCTCTGAAAGGAAGAACTCTGATGAATGGAAGAAAAAGTTTCTACGAGAATATATTTCTTGAAACTCAATTATACAAAAACTGTTACAAATGATATACATGAGAAAAAACTTAATTGATAATAAAAAAACTCGTAAGCAACGGCAAACCCTTTTTTCGGTTTGCTATTTCCAACAGTTATAAAGCTTATAGGTATTTACATTACTATTTAATTTCAATCAGAATTCCAACTAAACCTATGTTGTTGAACTAAAAGGGTTAGAAATGTTGGACTCTTCCAAGTACTCAAACCCCATGAAGTGCTTCACTCTTCGTCTTTGATGAACCTGTTGTATGTGATATCAATGATGCCACTTCAATTGACTGATAAACAGTTCTCTAATTCAACATAATAATGAACAACCTATCATGCTTGCAGCTTGGTAAAGCAAGAAAAAAAAGCTGAAAACAACAATCCCAAGATCTTTACATTCAACAAGTGAAAGTACAGCTAGAATCAAGTTGGATTTCTCATTAGATTCATTTCCACAGAAAACTTCCCAGTAGAAAGTTGATTACTGGAACTCTGGAAGTAGACAAAATAGGAATCTTCTATTGGTACCAAGATGATTGTCCAAATCCAAATTCTTGAGTCAATCTGTTATATTCTGGAGTAGCTGGTTCAATTCAAATAAATACTGAATTTCTTACATAATAATCTACATCTTCTTTGCGCTATATATGATGTAAAGTCAAATCATATTTGGTAAACAAAACAAAACCACAAGAAGTTACAGCTTTATAAAACAAAATCAAAACCTATCCCACACTATCTAGTTTAATTCCTGACCTCGGATTTTTTAGGTCGTAATATGACCTTTCATTGGTCTATGAGTTCTTATGTGTACTATTTACAGCATTCTCAACTACATACCTTGAGTCAATTCACGGAGGGTCTTCCATGAACATTAATCTTCACTCTTTGCTTTCTTCAAGGCGATGTAGAAACTATAAAATTAAGAGTTTTCTTGATTACCTGAGCATGTCTCCACTATGCAATTTTGGCCCGCCCAAAGCTGGTGATATGCTGAAAGTATTACCGTTGCCATTGCCATAACCTGAAGGGTGACCAAGAGGCATTGGCCTATCTGGAATTGGTGGCACTTCAATATCTCCTTCCAACATTTTCAGTGCATCCAAAATGGTAGGCCGCAAAGCCACCATTACATGAGCACACAAAATGCCAACCAGCAAAAATCTCTCCATTATGCTCTTTGGATTTGAATTCACATTATCACCATCTTTCAGCAATGAAAAGTCTAAAGCCTGTTCAACTTTTCCAGATTTCACGAATGACCAAGCCCAATCTGTGATAAAAAATGCGCTTGGTGATCCCAAGGAAGACGAATCCAAAGAGCAAACAAGACTGCAAAATAGAGTTATAAATTGACAAAATGGAAAGAATCATCTAAACCTGTTTGAAGAGGATCTAAAAACAGAGTTGATTATCTTGCATCTCTCTGGGAGTTTTTGATTTACTCTTTTTGCCCATCTTATGGTACTGAGAATTGACAAAATGTATTTGCAGAGATGCTAGACCCTCCAGGAAAAAAGAAATCTGAAAAAAAAAACTCCATTCAAGTTTTTGAAAAATCGGACGCCTAGGCGGGCTAGGCGGTTCTTCTATTTAAAGTTTCATAATTACAATTGACCGGCCAGGAAAAAAGAAATCTTAAAAAAAAAAGCCATTAAAGTTTTCGAAAAATCAGCAGCCTAGGCGGGCTAGGCGGTTCCATTTAAAATAATAATAATAATAAACATTTTCTTTATTTTTATTTTTATTTATATTTATTTGTTATAAATGAAATAAATAGTATCGCCGCGCGGCTATACGATATTTCATAAGTGCATTTCTGTTTGAAGGTACTCTATCTTTCAGAAAAAGAAAAATAAATAATTCAATATGAGGTCTCTCAATTATGAGACTGATTTATAGTTTTTCTCTTCCTATGCACTGGGGTCATATAAGCATAAATTGGCGGACCTAGTAAAGCGCAAGGAGGTGCAGCTGCACCTCTCCTTGCCGGAAAAACCATTGTAGGTGCTTCAAATTGCCCCTTTGCTCAACTGGTGTACAGATTACCTTATTTCCATTGTCAACATTTAAGTAAATGTCTTTGTCTTTTTACTTTTATTTATTTTTATATTACTCCATTTACTTAAGTTTACAATGTAAATAAGGAAGTACCCACCATTTGGATTCAAATAAAAATACTAGAAAATCAAATTCCCATCAAATCAAAATATGAAAAATCGGTTTTAGTGCAAAATACGCTTTAGGCTAAAAATGATGGCTCATTAAGTCAATATATACTTCGTACTAAAATCCCATAAAATCAAGTTTTCTTATTTGATATGTAAGGAATAAAAGCCACCAAAAATTATCTTGAGAAAATGATTATTCCAAAAAACTATTTTTCATACTTGGTCAATAATGCATCAGCCGCCTAGGCGGGCTAGGCGGTTCCATTTAAAAAAAAATAAAAAAAAATTTTAAATTTTATATTTGTTTGTTGTAAATAAAATAAATAGTATAGCCGGTCGGCTATACTATATTTCATAATTGCAATTCTGTCTGAAGGTACTTTATCTTTCGGCGCAGCTATATTATTTAATTAAAATATATATATAATTAATGTAAATTGTTTAATATATATTATGTTTATTCAATAATATGTGAGAATTATATGTATAATACGTGAAGCTGTGTGTATTATTGAAAATTTTATATAAAAAATACATGTATTAAACATGAAAAATATGTACGTACATGTATAATACGCGTATTGCATGTTTGCCTTTTAAAAAAAGTGAACTTTACCAAATCTTTAAGACGTGTACAGAACACGGATGTATTATTGAATATCCAAGGGGGACAATAGAGACTCGGGTAATGGCCTTATACTATTAGTCCTCTAGATTAATCGGAACGTCATCCTCCAAATTCTGAGGTGAGGGTGTCTCGGAAAAGAATTCTTCATTTGGATACGACTTCTGGAAAAGCTGTCAAGTGCAAACATTGACACCAAATTTCATAAGGGTTAACATCAAGGGATATATAATAACAAGAAGTTAAGCTTGATGAAACAACACAAGATGTGAGTAAAGAGATAATAATACCAGCACAGTTGCATCTAACAGATCATTGTAGCAAAGATTTCCATCTGGCATGGGAGTTGAAATAAGATAATCACGTTGATCCTGAAATTAATGTAAATCTGAAAAGATATCACAGCTCATATCTACATCACAATCCATGCCCCGTATACAAAAACCACAGCAACATGGTTTCACCAAAGAAATCCTAATGTCTATCAAGAAAAGGTAACAGAGAGAGAGACAGATATATATATATATATGTATATATATATAAACGTATAGCTGATTGGTTAAGAGTATAGTCGCTCAGTTACAGTTTGCAACAACCACTGCCGTACGTCGACGGCATATACCAGTTCCGCCATGTGCAAATGGGAAACCTTATAGAGCCAAAACCTGGAACCGACTTCGACAATGCCCTCGCTGCAGAACAGGCAACCCCCACCCAGAATCATCCATCCTCTGATAAAAATACGCATATAATTCTTTAACCCAACTACCAAGACTAGAACCAAATATTTACACACAGAATGCATCTAACATAGTCCCTGAATATGGGCTGTGTTAAACACCACAACTCCAACCAACACACAGAATACGGATTGCTTTCAAAAATAAACATAAAGAAAATTTGAAAGCATAAGCACTTAAAAATTGATACGAAAGTACTTACAAATGCAGTTGCCTTCCCCTTGCTGTTTCGATAGCCTCTGGATCTGCAAAATGTAATCAAACCAGTGAACACTACCCGAAGTTTATTCCGAAGAAAGCTTAATCATTTTCACAAGGAAACTCACACTACATAGTAAACAAGACTGCAAAATATATGCATGGAAAGAATCTTCTAAACCTGTTTGAAGAGGACCTAAGAAGCTGCCACCGATACCAACAGCTATATTATCTTGCATCTCTGTGGGAGGTTTTGATTTACTCTTTTTGCCCATCTTATGGTACTGAGAATTGACAAAATGTACTTGCAGAGATGCTAGACCCTCCACGAAAAAAGAAATCTAAAAAAAAAAAACTCCTTCATTTACTTAAGTTTACAATGTAAATAAGGAAGTACCCCCTATTTGGATTCAAATAAAAATACTAAAAAATCAAATTCCCACCAAATCAAAATATGAAAATTCAGTTTTAGTGCAAAATACGATTTAGGCTAAAAATGATATAAACAGTATAGCCGCTCGGCTATACTATATTTAAGTTTCATAATTGCAATTCTGTCTGAAGGTACTCTATCTTTCAGAAAAAGAAAAATAAATAATTCAATATGAGGTCTCTCAATTCTGAGACTGATTTATAGTTTTTCTCTGCCTATGCACTGGGAGCATATAAGCATGGGAATATCTAATATTTAAGTTTCAGATTTCGCCATTAAAATGTTTTGGTAGCTTCTCATTATTTCAAGGCTGTTATACACAAATGGAGGTGATGCCATTTTGGTGTTAGCATCAAATGGCATTCATTTTCTCCGGAAATGGCCACAGGATCTTAATTCCAGTGGAGTGGTAAAGAATGACATGCTTTATAATTCTTTCCTATTAGATTTCTCCTCACTTTCCTTTCGAATTGAAACCGAACCGAAGAGCCCAGGTTCAAGTCTTGTTGTAAGCTAAGTAATTGATTTACGGATTGGGTTTAGGTACTTGTTATCTGATAACAAATTAGTGACTTCAATTGATTAATGAGAAAAGGAATGATGTGAATGATTTTCTTTCGTTTTTTCATGTCAGTAGGTTGTTGTCTGGAATATGGAAGCACTGCAAACTGAAAGCACACAAGAGGGGCACTCCTTGATAATTACTGATGTTCGATTTAGACCAAATTCAACTCAGTTGGCAACTTCTTCAGTATTGTTGCTCGTTATATGTACCCTAGACCTTTTAGTGACTTGAACCCTAGACCCTGAAGTTAATAATTAAAACAAAAATTAGCCCATCTAATATGAAACATTTCAATATTGTTGCTCCTTATATGTACTTGAACAACACTCTCCATTCTATATTGCTACTGTCTCCTATGTACTTGAACAATATGTCTCCCCATCACTTACTGTCTCCTATGTTCAAAATTGAAGTTTTGATTGCATGACATTAAGAAAATGTAAGGAAAAAATGTCTCTGCTGTTACATTGGGAAGATGTAATCCAGTTTTACAGCAGAAAACAGCGTTTTTTGGGGGTCTGGAGAACTCAAGCCGCTTCCAGCGACTTGGGACGTTCTAGATCTCGAAAAGTTACATGAAATCAAAAAAAAATTATAAAACCGTATATAGCCGCATGGAAATACTATTAATAAAGTAAAAAAATATGAAAAAAGAGGACCCGTCTAATGGCTAGGCGCCCACATGTCAAAAACCATAGCATAGCCGCACGGCGATACTCTTTAAATACATATTTAGAAGGTATAGACTCGCGGCTATATTATTTAATTAAAAAATATATATATATATATATAATTCATGTAAATTGTTTAATATATATTATGTTTATTCAATAATATGTGAGAATTATATGTATAATACGTGAAGCTGTGTGTATTATTGAAAATTTTATATAAAAAATACATGTATTAAACATGAAAAATATGTACGTACATGTATAATACGCGTATTGCATGTTTGCCTTTTAAAAAAAGTGAACTTTACCAAATCTTTAAGACGTGTACAGAACACGGATGTATTATTGAATATCCAAGGGGGACAATAGAGACTCGGGTAATGGCCTTATACTATTAGTCCTCTAGATTAATCGGAACGTCATCCTCCAAATTCTGAGGTGAGGGTGTCTATAACTTACCGGTAAGTTATTGCGTGAAAAGCCGATATTTAATCGACATGTAAATGATGCAGTGAAAAGACTACAACTTACCGGTAAGTTATCGAGTGAAAAGCCAATACTTTACCAAACATCAAAATTAAGACAATCTGGTGCGCCTCCCCTAACGAGCACGCAGTATCGAAGAAACTCTGGCGTACGCATCCCAACTAGGATTTCAAACTTAAAATAATAATTAAAAGATAAAGCTTGAAAAAACCAAGCTATAACAATACAAATAAAATGACAGGACTCGCCCCGAATTCCTCGGAATCCGTGATGGATCCTATGGTATTTTCGACATCCAACCGATACCGGACCCACTTACTGATTTCAAATGTCCTCTTCCCCTAAAACAAAGGAAAAGAAGGCCGAGACTTGTACCGAAATT